ATTAAAGTAGATGAACTGCGAGTAGAAGTGACTTTGTTATCAAACATTTTCATATATTGTAGCTTACTACCAAAGTTCCTGAACTTTTGAACTTTAATAATAAGTACAAACTTTTTCTAAGGCAGTCCCTTTGGTTAAGGTGCCTACAGTTTGGTTGTGGAGATGTGTTCACCCTCATGAAACCAAGACTACAGGCACAATATGATTCAGATCTCCAATGACACTCTCAAGGCTCACTTTTAAATTTCCTGTGGTCATTCTCAGGAGGAAAGCCACAAGGTTCATTTTAGAAAGTGAGTGAGCACAGCTGAAATTAAGCCAAAGACTTGCAAAGTAAGGCTAGCAATAGCTATGTTTGCAAACTGAGCGCTTACCTCTTGGCAAAGTGTCTCTGAGCACCTTGACTCATAAGCAGGCCTTGACTCACACCAAGGGACAGTGGGAAGGAGCTATGCCAAATGAATTTTACAGTGAAGAATGAGGGGACCAGGATGATCTCAGGCTAGTTCCTATGAATCTTGTGAGAGGGAACAATACTAGCCAGATGATTTGTAGTCAAGGTGACTGAGGAACCAAGGAGTCTGTAAAAATATGTATTTCTATTTTTTTTTTTTTGGTTAAAAATCACCTATTATCTAGCCAAAAGGTGGAAACAACCTAGGTGTCCATCAGCTGAGGAATGGATAACCAAACTATGGTACATACACACAATGGAATACTATGCAATCCTAAAGAATAACCTAGAATCTGCAAAACACCACATAATGTAGATGAAGTTAGTGGACATTATGCTGAGTGAAATAAGTCAATCACAGAAGGACAAATATTAGTCTGTTATTGTAAAAGTCAAGGTAGAGGTAAGTATTGATTTGGGTGAAGAGAAGGGCAATGTACCAAAAGTGAGTGATCAGCATGGTGGTATTGAAGAAGAGAAAGACACAGAGAGATACATGGGAGGTACAGACAACAAAGATGAACCCTTTTGCACCTACAGTACTGCATTGTCAGTGAAGGCAAACATGGGTATATGGGCGGACAGGCTGAATTATTAGGTATGTCTATGCAGCAGGGAGTGTACCCAAGACCATGTATAGGGTTGGCAGACAATGGTCCTATAAGTTTATGCGTATGATCTGAATTCCCAGGTGTATAGTAGAGCTGACAAGGGACAGGGTTGTTGTCACTTCTTGGTCACAGCCAGCTACCCAGAGGGCCTGAGTAGTTGAACCTGTGGGCTCAGGACCATAGTTGCAGGGGACATCAAGCTCAATTGGCATAACATACTATACAAAACATTGTTCCACCTCCTACTTTAGAAAGTAGTGACTGGGATCTTAAAACCTTGCAAGCAGCCATCTAGATGCAACGATGGGTCTCTCCTCATCCAGAGCAAAGAAGAATGAAGAAAAACAAAATTCATGGAAACAATTAGTCCTAGCGACTGGTACACCATCTGATCTGCAACCTATACGACTATGAGACCATAAGAACTAGATGGTGCTCAGCTACCACTGTCAACCACTTGAAGGGGGATCTGTGTAGGAGATCCTGGATAGAGAGGGAGAACAATGTAGAACAAAACTCAAAATCATTTGGAAAAAAAAGGGGGGACCAGATTCGCTGGTATGATAGAGCCTGGTAGAACCACTGAGACTATGGCCCCTAGCTGCCCTTTGGGTCTGGAAATGAACCCACACCTGTGGCTTCCAGTCAAAAAAAAGACAGGCTTATAAGTTCAACATTTACTTGAGGTAGATACACTCCTTGGAGACAACGATCATGGGAGAAAGAAGGGCTGTTTATGCACAGGGAGACAGCTCAGGGGGCAGGAGTGCATGGAGGGATGGACACAGGGAAGAGGTAACTATCGGGAGGAAGTGGGAGCCTTTGAATTGTGGTGAATTGTGGTCAGTGTCGTGAGACAAAGTGTATGGAAAGTGAATTTGCTCTGTAAATTTTCACCCAAAATCACAATTAAAAAAAAAAAAAAAATCAGCTATTATCAAAACATCCAAAGATTCTTCAGGGAACTAAACATTGTCAGTAAACACAGACTGCTAAGGGTCAGCTATATATATGTATTTGTATGTGTGTGAAAGCTCCAACCCTGCCCCTCATCCCTAAGAATGTAATTCTGTTAACTTGATTTCTGCAGTAGAGTCTTCAGCCCATGGTTGGGCTGGTCCCTTCATTAAATGCTCCTTAGCAGTTTTACTTATTCAGCTTCAAGTCTCTGCTTCCTTTCTCAGACACTAGCTGGCACTGAGACACAGGGTTAGGAGGCGGCTCTGGGAATCAGGGAAAAGGAAACATGGAGAAGTCAGGAGATATCCAGAAACCAGGCAGCTGGTCTGTTAGCAGCTCTCTGTCTTGGCAGTCAATGTTTCTTACTCACGTCACTCGTGGAGTGTTTACTCTTGGCTCTTGTTGGATCTGAACTCCTCACTCCTGCCCAATTTCCCCTTGATGAGCCTCACTGGTGGCATACTGCACTAAGTTCCAGGGCTGCTATTAAATGCATAGTCTCAAGGCTCAGCTTATGAACTCCAAACACTTTACCTTGGTCTTCCTGGTAGCAGTTGGTGGTCTAGGACTTTTATTATGTTGCTCTTTAGAAGATTAGGCCCTGTAATGCTTAATCTCTTCTTGCTGGTGGGACTCTGGCCGCTAAAACAAATGTATCAGGTCAGCCTGTTCACATTGGGTGAAGGGGCCAGACTTGCTGGCATAGATGCCTGGGCTGGCATGGGCTTGGTGGGATGCTGGCCTGAGCTGCAGTTGGTGGCACCAGTAGTCCTATTTATTCATCAGTTTGTGAGTCGCTGGCAAAGGCTGAGCAGACTGGATACCCATCCTCCAGATCACAGATGCTTCCTCCTGAGCCCGCCTGCCCAGGTAGCTCTGCACCTAGGAGCAGCAAAGACTGGGGAAAAGGAGGGCTTGTCCCTGTATGTCCCTTGTTCTCTTTGTTTTTGTCACTCCCATTACTTCTCCTCTCTCCAAATCCATTTTTCCTTCCTGGAATGAGCACAATATGTACATGGTTGTCCAAGTGAAGTGCAATTGCCATATAAACAAATGGTTTGATGCTAATAAACATTTAAATATCTTCAGATACTTGATTTTCTTACAGTTCAGTGGTTCCAGTAGAACTGGTTTCCAATACAACTGCAATTTGCATAATAATTTTTCAGTTGCAAAGAGGTTGGGACATCTGACCAGCACGCAGGTGGAATAGATGCAGACTGTGTCCAACCTTATAAACAGCACTCAAGTAGGACTGGCAGCTATAACAGGACCTTGAGTCCTATTTCATGCACTCTTCATTTTGAAGCACTCCAGAGCATTCCACCAGCTGTTGTAAAGGAGCACCTGTGTTGTCACTGTCATTGAGATTCTAGAGGAAATCATTTGGTCATGCTTTTCCATGTAGTCACTGTGCCAAGAGACCCTGACAGAGCTGGCCTGGAGCATGTGCACACATTGAAATAGAGGCTGTTTTCCACTCCCAAAGAAAAAGTGCAGTTTGCATTTTGAGTTTTGAGATCAGGGTATTAAATGGCGTGGCCAAGGTTGTCAAAACACTTAGAAGTAGTTAAATTTAAGATACTCAGGCAATAACCTGGCTGGGTGCCTCTTGCCCAGCTTGGATGGGGTTTCTTAAGTAAAAAGGTCCCAAGGAAGCATTAACCAGTCAAGAAAGAGAAGTATGTTGGGCTATAAGATTCTTCTAGAAATATAAGACATGTAAGGATCTGGCTTTGCTGGCAAAATGCTCTCTGAAACTAGGGATGGGGAGAAAGGTACAGTGGCTGGTAGAGGGAGGTTCTTAATATTGGCTGCTAGGTTTTTGTTGCTAGAAAAAAGAAAAAGGATGTATGTGGTGGTTAAGAGAAACACACTAGACGAGACCAAAGACAATGAAACAGTCAAGGACAGGCCCATCCATTTTTTGTTTTGTCCATCTCTGGGTGCTTCAGGGACTCTTAGGGTCTTCCATCTGAGTTCATCATTCAAAATGCACCCTTCTGCACTCCCTTTGACTGGCCAGAGCTGCCCGGACTTTAGTGAATTTGTCAAAAGACTGGCACTGCTGAAAGGTAGGGCTTATTGAAAGTTCATGTGAGTGGAGGTAAATGCAGGTGTGGTCAGGAAGTGTACCCAGTTCACCTCTCACAGTAGGCACAAGGCCAAAAGCCAGTGAACTTGCTGATTCTCTCACCCAGAAGTAATTTCAGTTCATCTAGGACTGCACCTGATCCTAATGATGCAGTTAGAGGTACACATTGCAAACTGGAGCCACGTCCTAAAGTGGATGCCAATCAGACACAACCTGAGCTTTCACTGGCTTGTTGCCACTGACCTTCCAGAATACATTCTAGCCCCAGCATCTTCAGGCTAATAGTGCTGTGGGTGGACTTGGAGACTGTCCCACAGATAATTAAATGAGTTTGAGAATCAAATTTGTAGAGAACAGCTTAGAATTAATAACTGTCTCTTAGTGTGTAAAAACTCAGACATGAAGACTAGTGCCAGCACTTCTTAATCTTCATTAGGGATAGAATGGAATTTTAGCATCCTTTTGTTAGCCACAAGGAAAATTTGCCCAACAAGGTAAATTTTTACCTGACAATGAAAGTTGTTAAGTGATGGGATGAGTGGTTGAGGGTAGGCTCTAGACTTCTGATGAGATTTTCGAATAGGCTGTTTTCCCCTCCTTAGGGTGAATTCAGTTCATTCCAATAGTCCTCCCTGATGGCTGAGGGGTGGAATTGGTAACCATGCTGAGTTCCTATTCCAACCTAAAGATTCCTGCCCCTGATTGCAGACATCCACTTGCTTTTACATTCTCTGAGCTGCTCCATATCCCCAGGCACTGGGCCAACACACTAGACCTGGCTGGGCCCAGCCTCTGTTTTCCAATCCACGAGATAGGTAGGATTGTGCAGATGCACCAATCTGATTGGATTGTGTTTCTTTGTTCTCCTCTTCCTTTCCAGTATGAGTTTAAAGCCAAGAACATCAAGAAGAAGAAAGTGAGCATTATGGTTTCAGTGGATGGAGTGAAAGTGATTTTGAAGAAGAAGAAAAAGGTAAGTGGCTCTGAACCAGTAACCGGTATGAAGAGGAAAGCAGGGAAAGGTGTGGGATGCTTTCTCCTTCTAGGTCACTCTCTGGACAGAGTCCTTCCCTTAATTGGCAAGGTCACCCTCTTTGACCAGCAGCCAAACTGAAACGCCACACCTGGAGCAGAAAGTGAGGCAAGAGCCATTGGCTGTCCCACTGGGTGACAGAAGCCATCTCCTGTCACATCCTTTCGTGCCCTTCCCCATTTTGATACCTTTACCTTTGAATATTATCTTGGGAAATACTTCCAATTTAAGTGATAACAGTTAAGTAACAGGGTTCCCTGGGAAGAGTGGATAAGAGGAGGTTCCATTAGTAGCTGTCCCCTTGTGTTACAAGAACAGTTAGTCCCACATAAGGCAGCATCTAGCCCCATTGTGCAACCTTGTGTCATCGTGTGCCAATTGCTGCTGTTTTAGCCTGTCTGTTTAATTAGTACCCCAAAACCTAGCCATTGCTGCTGTTAATTGTACAAATAGTATCTGTGGGGGTGGCAAGGGTGGAAGGAAGAAGGGGGAGGTATTGATCCATACGTGCACTTGGTATTCTTCTGAGTTGTGGTTTAAACAAGTGAGCATATGTTGTTTAAACACTTTACTGTTTTGTGTTAGTTCTGAGTATGTGTTGTGAGAGAATGATGTTAACACCTTGGAAAGACTAGATTTGCATAATGGAGTGTGTTTGTGTTTCTGAAAAGAAATGGAAAAGGACTGGTTGAATGGAGATATACGAGAGCCCTTTTTCCTATTTTCTTGACTCTGCTTTTTTTTTTTTTTTAATGATGCTTTTGTTTTCTATTTATTGATGGTAGCACTGTAGTGTCAGCTGTCTTTGGTTCCGACCTTTTTAATTTGATCTTTATTCAAATGAGACTCAAGGCAAAACCCCAGGGAGAGAGCGTGAGCTTATGGAACACAAAGATGCGTACTTAGTAGTGGGCAACATAAATTTGGAGAATCATATAGTGAGAGGGATCTTAAAGGGTAGTAGTCATCTTGTCAATCCAGTGCCTTAAATCTTCTTCACAACCACCTTGGAAAGGACATTGCCCAGTGTATGACTAACACCTCTGGTAATTGGAAATTTACTACATCCTGAGGTAACACATTTCATCTCTGGACAGCTACAAAGTTGTCTTCTATATATTAAGCTAAAATTTATTCTCTTAAATCTTTAGGGATGGTTCTAGAAAGTGTTCTGTGGCTATGAGGTTGGAAGTATGTAGGGAAAAAATAGAACATAATATATTGTTGATAAAGAACCAACTCCTTCAAAACTCAGCAGTAGTATGGAATTTGTAATAGCATCTTAAGTGTCTTTGACTTTATAAACCTCCATTGTGGAAACCTCAGTCTCCATCTTGTTCTTACTCTGGGGATATCTTCTCCGTCCCCTTCCTCCACCCCACATACATGTACATGGGGTTAACCATGAGATAATTTGTAGAGTATTGTCTCTCAGGAGTTTCTGAGTTGGACAGTCACTGAAGCAACCTAAGACTTAGCAGGTAGGTGAGACCCCTGGGCCCCAGTTAAAGAAATTATAGATAATGACAGTGTGAATTTATAAGTAAGAGAGATCTCAGAGAAAAACCGAGCCAGCGCAACCCAAGCTCATGAATCAGGGAGCCAGGTTGAATCAGTACTTGGCTTTTGCCATGTGTCAGATAGCTTTACTCAGCCCTTCACATGACAGGCAAGAGGTGGCTTGTTGCTCTCTGTCAACTGGTAAGATAACAATTGCCATTTGTGGGTGCTTTCACATCCCTTATCATCCATCTCTTCATCAGTACTATGAAGAAACTCTTTGTGGATGTTTTTCTTACTCACTGTTCTGACATCCAGTCACCTGGGGAAACTAGCCACAAAGGCAAAGTGGCATTTTCCTCCCAGAACTCAACCCTGGGCCAGAGCTGAACTGTCAGCCTTTCAGAGTCAGAAACCCAAACTCATCAGTATGTTGAAGTTATGACCTTTAGAATATTAACCCTAACTGGCAAAGCTCAAAAGAGGCTGGTGTAGAAACTAAATCACCTGTTTCTTAAGTCCCTTTGGGAAATAGAAGTCTCACAGACTAGATATTTTCATTAGCTTGACAAGCACATGTTCTTTCAATGAGAGGCAAGTGATATGAGAAGACAAATTATTAGAGGTTTGGTCAGTGAGCCCAGCAATGAAGCAGGGTGGCTACTTATATGAGAGTAATGCTTTTAGGCCTTGGGTTCTGCAGTAGATGGGTCCACGGGATGGTTCCACATATTAGCCTGGTTGGACACAAGCTATTCCTGGCGTGTGTTAGACTCTGCCAGCATTTATTTCCGTGACCATCTGATTTCTGTACTTCCATGGCTGATGACTCTGGCATCTCTGTACCACCCCCATCCACCTATGCTTCTGACTGGCACACTCTTTGTTTAATTTCAATCAGATTATATTTGAAGACCTACTTTCCTAGGAGCTGTTCTGTCCCTTTTGAGTAACTTTTTGTATAGCTTTGATCTGGTCCATTATGGGTGACTTCATAGTTTTGCTCTTACAGGACAATCTTATTTCTCATTTCACTGTCTCTCCCATTGGTGGTGTTGTCAGATGCTGTGGAGTCTGTTTCAACTCCCAGTAGCCCTGTGTACAACAGAACAAAACACTGGCCAGGCCTGCGCCATCCTCACATTCGTTGCCGTGCTTGAGCCCATTGTTGCAGCCACTGTGCCAATCCATCTCATTGAGGGTCTTCATCTTTTTTGCTGACCCTCTACTTTACCCAGTGTGATAGCTTTCTCCACTGGTCCCTCCTGATCAGATGACCAAAGTATGGAGACGGAGTCTGGGCATTCTTACTTCTAAGGAGCATTCCTGTTGTACTTCTTCCAAGACAGATTTGTTCTTTCCATGGTATTTTCATGTTCTTCACCAAAGTCATAATTGGAATGTATCAATTCTTCTGCAGTCTTCTTTATTCATTATCCTGCTCTCACATACATATGAGGCTAGGTTTGGGTTAGGTGCTCTCTGGTCTTCAAAGTGACCTCTTTAACACTCTAAATCTTTAAAGAAGTCTTTTGCAGCAGACTTGGCCAGTGCAATATGCTGTTTGATATATTCTTGATTGATATATTCTTGACTGCTGCTTCCATGGGTGTTGATTGTAGATCCAAGTAAAATGAAATACTTGACAACTTCAGTGTTTTCTCCATTTGTCATGATTTGCTTGTTGGTCCAGTTGTGAGGATTTTTATTTTCATTATGCTAAGATGTAATCCATACTGAAGGTTGTAGTTTCTGATTTTCATCAGTAAGTGCTTCTGATGAAGCAAGCAACGTTGTATCATCTGCTTATAGCATGTCGTTAATGAGTCTTCCTCCAGTCCTGAGGCTGTGTTCTTCATATAATCCAGCGTCTTGGATTATTTGCCTAGCATCCAGATTGAATAAATATGGTGAAAGGATACTGCTGTGATGCATACCTTTTCCGATTTTAAACCACGCAGTATCCCTTTGTTTTGTTTGAACAACTATCTTTTGGTGTATGTACAGGTTCCCTACGAACACAATTAAGTATTCTGGAATCCTCATGCTTTGCAATGTTATCAGTAATTTTTTTATGACCCACACAGTTGAGTGCTTCTGCATCTCCCCTTTGTATCATGTACTATATGCAGTGTTATCCCCACTGTAAGAAAACGGCAGTTCGAGAGTCAAAGTATTTTGTCTGAGATCACGTAACACATAAAGGTAACAGTGTGCTGCAGTATCAACTGGAAGAGAAACCAACCTCCTTCTATCAAGTAATTGAAAATAAAGGTGGGGAAGCATCTCCCAGAGGGAATCCATGGGACCTTGTGACTCACTTTGAAACTCCATCCTTGGTAATCTCTGGTGTAGGTTCACTTTCCAGCTGGCCCAGAGGAGAAGTGATCTAAGAGGTCTCCTCTAGATCTGTTTCTTCTGGTGCCAGGCTTGGGAAAGGAGAGCCTCCCATCTTGTTTCCTCCACCCATGCCTGGTGTCTGTTTCGGGGCTGTGGCTGTGATTTGGATAATGCCTTTAATCATGGTGTTCATTTTACACCGCCTCTTACGGATGAATGCACATTAACAGCAATCAGCCTTTTTGTCATCTGGTTCCCATGTGACATCCCTCTGTTATCTGAGTTTGCTGATAGCACTGCACTTACACACACACTGTCTCCTTCTCTCTTTCTCTGCTTATTGAATTGATAGGGGGTGAGACTAGACATGCCATCATGTAAATGCACAATTTTCTCCAAGGAAATGGAACAGCTGGCAAAATTCAGTGATGGCCATCATAATCAGGCTAAGAAATAGAGCTGTTGCCAGGTCACCTTAGGTGTAGCAACTGCTATAGCTAATAGTCAGCCAGAAGGCACTGTGTGCATCCTGACATTCTCTGCTGATTAGTTAGTGCCCTGGCTGGGTTAGTTGGTAAATATATTGAACATTCCCCTACTCCAGCAAAATAGTGTGTTGATTGTTTCTGGGTCAGTGTGGCATGCTAGGAGGACCCTTCAACTGAGACAAGAAGAGCTGAGTTCTACCCTTCCTGGCTGTGACTGTGAGTTTGATCTATAAAACAAACAATTGGGCTACATAATGCACTGTAAGGATCCACATGAATCCACTCCTCTAAATGTGGAGATTGATCGAGTCCTTACCTTCTACTTATTCACCCTCATTTCAGATGCCCCCATGGCACTCTTTCTCTCTCTTAATGTAGTCACCCCTAGGTCAGCTAGCTCAGAGCTCACAAATTAAAAGGACACTGTCCTTCAGACTGTGAAATAGGCAGACACTACCTGCAAGTTTGGGAAGTCTGACACCTCAACCTTCTGACTGGCTGGCCACAAATTTGGGGCTGGTTTCCCACTACCTCTTCAGGATACCAGCTGCAGTCTCAGAAGTCCACATAACAGCCTTACTTTCTGACCCCTGGTTCCTACTACCCCTTCGG